CAGACAGACAGACAGACAGACAGACAGACAGACAGACAGACAGACATAGGTCATGGACTGGTATAAACACAGGGCAAAATCATTGATGGGCATAGAGACCCAAAGCCAGATTAGTAATTTCTGATGGCTGTAGGACCCTGGCTGTTGGGGGTACAGCTTTAGGAGCATCAGGTCTTTGTACCTTTTATCCTACTGAACACTGATTGGAAGATTAATATTTTATTTTATTGATATTTTAGAACAGGGTACTTTTCCTTCTCCTTTTCTTCTCATAACAGGACAGAAAAATCAGAGATGCAAGCTTTTTTGTGTATCAGCTAATGAACTGGAGGTTTTTCACAAAGTATAACTCAAAATTTGCCATATACCGGCTCCAGATCTGATTTGCTTGAAGTTGGTTGCTTTCTTATCACATTCAGGTCTGGAGTGTTAGGATGGTCTGATTCATCCTCCAATGAAGACTCCTTCAGTAAAGGAGTGATTACATTTGTCTGCAATGTGGTAGGTGGTAGTCCATAAACCTCTGGAATCAGGAATTGAATTTTCTGGAGCACAACGTCATTGCCTTCTTCAGCATGGCGAGCAAACCTCCCCATGCAAGGACTCGCTCACCTGTTTTTGAATTAATCCAGTCAGTTCCTCTCAGCTGGCAAAAATAAGCCAGAGTGAACAAGAGCAAAGGAAGCATGTACAGGGTGGAGAACTACAGAAAGGCTGCCAGATCTGGGCTGCAAAAATCTAGACAACCATTAGATGGCAGCAAAGAATTCAGATTTTTGGTACCTCTTTGCTTTCATCTAATGGACATTTGATTTTTTTGCAGTCTAGATCTGGTAACCTTAACTACAAATGGCTTAGCTATAGTCATAGCTAAGGACATAGAACTTGAAAACGATCTCATACAACTGGATCACATGGGGCATAGAATAATTCAACAGATATGTACAAAAAGTACATTCAGGTCAGCACATTGTCAAATAATGATTAAGGCAGCAATCATATATGCATACTTATTTAGCTCCATTTAATTCACGCGCACTTATTTTTGAGTAAACATGTATAGAATCACATTGCCAGTATCATAGGTGAATTAATTCCACACTTGCTGAGAACAGTGCTTTCACTACCTAAAGGCCATCTCTCCATTACAGGTTTGTTATATCACGGCTGTAACACACGCTTAAGTGCCAGACTTGTAACTCAGCAGGCAGGGGCATCTCACAGTGTTCTTTTAATATTTATTTATTACTTTACATTTGAATAAACACAATATATTTATTACTCTCTATACAGTAAATGCATAACATGAATTATATTATTTATTCTCATTCTACAAACTCATGAAGGGATATTATTTTTAATGTGGGCTCTGACCATCCTTTATCTCATTTGCCCATTTTATGGCTGCCAGGTGAGAGCAACTGTAATGATTTGCTGCATCTTCTCTTCTCTCTTGAAGGTCAGAGATATGGCTCCAATAAGAGCTTGGTCATTCTCACCAGCTCTGTGACTTCTGGGACTGCTGAACAATTTGTTTACATCATGAAGAGACTGGGCAGAGCCTTGATCCTTGGACAAAGGACCAGTGGGGGTTGCCACCCACCTCAGACATTTCATGTGGATGGGACAGACCTCTATATCACCATCCCAACTTCTAGATCCATCATTTCTGTTGAGGACACTTGGGAAGGTGTCGGTGTGAGTCCTCACATGGTAGTTCCCATTGAGAGAACACTCATCAAAGCAAAAGAGATCCTTATTGCCCATCTCCATAGTCTGAGTTAAATTAGAAGGTAAAAACAAAAGATTGCATGAAGGTAAAAGGCAAGAAAGGGGAATTGGCATCCAATTCCCTTTCCTTGAAACTGCATTTTGGCCTTGCAAATTCATTCCAGACATCAACATATCCTCATTCTAGGTCTTCTATAATAGTTAAAATATAGAAGGTGAAAGAGAAAGGAAGAAATACTAATCCATCCCTCTAATTCCAGACTGTCTTTCAGAGTATAACTTGAAATCCCAAACACTAGAATGAATTGTAGAAATAGGGTCAGCTTAGGCCAAAAACCACAAACATTGCTTCTGGGATTGTTAGCCATACATGCTGTGGCAAGTGGAATCAAGCAGGGCTAACCGAGCACCATTCAACAACATTCAGTATTTGTATATTCACCATTATTCACAACCCAAGCAGAAGCCCCAGACTCTTTCTGTCAGTCTTCCCAGGTAGACCAGACAGGAAACACAACCAGGTGAGCTAATTCTACTTTATTGTAAGCTACATTAGCAGAATCTTACAAGTCTGATAGTACAAATCTCCTGCTGTCTCTTTTACAGCCTGGGAAGTTAAGTAGTTCCTTTCTGAGTCTCTTTCTTGCCCATTATGCAGCTGTGGGCCCTCTCTTATCTGATCGTTCCCCAGGCACCATCTTTTCCCCACATCTACCAATGTCATTCCCACACACCTTTACACTTTCACAACTAAAGAGTTAGGACTCATCTCAGAGAATGCATGTCCTTTCAGGTTGGACTTGCCTAAGCAAGATGGGGAAGAAGAGACTCAGGCTCAATTCTGCCAAAGCTGAGTGGCTGTAGATATAAGGCCCCTTAGATCTGGGGTCCTTCCATCTTTAGTCTTGGATGGAGTTGCATTTCTCCATTCAAGACTGGTCATCTGGGGGTTATCTTGCACTCAGGTGGCAGGTGTGACCAAGAGGGCTGTTGCATAGCTCCATCTACTGTGCCAGTTTTACCTGTTCCTGAATCAGAAGGTCCTTGAGATGGTTCACTCATGTTCCAGTCATCTTATGGTTGGACTGTTGCATGGTACTGCTCTTGAATGCCAACTGGTTCAGAATGTACTGGTACAGGCAATGATGAGCATACCTCGATATACCTATGTGACACCACTACTCTGCAAGCTCACTGGTTGCCAGTGAGCTTTCGGGTGCAGTTCAAGGTGCTGGTTATCACCTATAAAGCTGGTCATGCCATAGGGCCATGCTATTTGAGAGATTACCTATCTTCCATGATTTCTGCCCATCTGGTAAAATCAGGCAGAATTGGTGCACTTTGGGTCCCATCAATTAAACAATGCCATCTACTACAATGCCAACTCAGGAAGCATGCCTTCTCTGTTATAGTGCCTGCTCTCTAGAATTGCATCTTCCCAGAGATCCATGTGGCTCCCACCCTGATGGTGATCCAGAAATTTTTTTTAAAACTTGGCTGTTCTCCCAGGCTTTGGGCTAGGGTGGCTGCTGAGCTACTGTTGGGTATGTTTTTGGTAGCATATGGAGTTTGTCTTGTCCAAACATACATGATTTCTTCTATTACTCTTTTAAAATGTAAGCCATCCAGAATCACTCTGGGGTTGGGCAGCCTTTAAATATAATAAATGTATTCATTTATTAAGTCTGAGGGGACATTATATAAGTCTGAGGGGAGAGATTAGCATTGAGAAGGGAATGGCCCATGAAGATGAAGATGTGCAGGACTGCTGGTCTCAACAAAATTCCCTCTCCTTTGTGACCCAACATCAAAAGATGACAGTCTTACATCTAGTATCACCTGTTTCAAGGCTTGGGCCAGCTTCTTGTGGATTTCAGGGACATAAAGCTGTATTTTAAATGAATGTCCAGGGATATAACAGAGCCAGGGAGACTTGTTTATTCTCTCCCTCTTTCCAGAAGATAACTGCCTTAATTGCTGCACACCCCTATTCCTGATGTTTTGAACAAGTGCTTCTCAGTACCATTTAGCATTCTTATTTTTAAACCCAGGGAGGAAAAGAAGAATAAAAATGCAACACAGAAGACAGGAACTGAGAGCTTAGAAAGTTTAGAAAGACTAAGGTTGCAACATCCATAGGAATATCTTTCCTCCATATTCCCAGTCACTCAACATGTAGGCACCACTAGAGATGCTTTATTTTTTAAGATACACCATGCAGGAAGTTCCAGCATTTGGGGAGAGCTAAGTCTTCCTTTCCCGACATGCCCACCTACTGGATTGTAGTCTAAAAGCCAAAAATTACACTACAAGAAAAATAGGATTTCATCTTTAACTTGCATTTTTCCAAGATCTACCAGCATCTTTCTCTTTACCCGCAGGTCTGGGTCATTTCTTTCAGCTGAAAACGTAACCAATATTTGCTGCCATCATACAAGAGGTGAATTGATATAACTGATTATTCCAACATGTATTTTGTCTTTGGGCCTACAAATATTATGGAGCTATTAATGCTTCTTAAGCTAGTCATAAAAAATTATATTCATTAGAATTTCAGTAGGATATTCATCCTAGTATTTATTTTTTTCTGTCTTAGGTTTGCAAGGAAATTATTCATAAATCTGAAGCATGACTTTTGAGATAAATATTTCCACTTATAAACACATTAGTAAATACTGTAGGATTTTTTTTCCTTCCTAATGTTTTTCCTGCAAGTGCAGGGTCCACTTTTTTTCGGATCAATGGAATGTTGATCTGTTGGTTGTGACAGGAATTGACCAGCCAACTTGTTGCCCAAGCCTGACACTGGGGGCTGAGAGAGAGGGACTGGCCCAAACTCACTCAGCCGGCTTTCATGATTAAGACAGGACTAGAGCTCACTGTAGGAATCATAGACAAATTGATAAAAAGAAAGTTGTGCTCTGGGAATGTTGAAAACAGCAAGACTTCGGGCATAGATGATATAACTGGAAAAAATTTTAAATATGAAAGCGGTTTACTTACTTATAGCTGTGTGAATTTTAATGCTGGGTGAAATACAGATGTATTTGTACTTGATGTTTGGAAGAATGCTCCCTTATAGAAAGGGAAAGGGGAATTAATCTGTTAAGTGTTTGTAGGTAGTTATTTGGCAGTATTCTGATGACAACATTTTAGAAGTGCAGTATGCCAAGCAGTTGGTGTGCATGCCAGATTTTTGTACTTCAGGATGGTACTGTGAAATGTCTGGGTGAATATCTGTTGATTTAGAGAAAGCATTTGATAAAATGAATAGGTTTGAAATTCCACATGAATATGGAGTTGGCTTGTTGCAAGAAGAACAGTATGTGCTACAAGTAAAGCATGCATGAAACTAAGTAAATACTTAGCAAATAATTCAACATTAATGAGGGAGTAAACTAAGGATGTGTGATGTCCCCTTGGTTGTTTAATGTATTTAGGGATAAATATATAAGGAATTTCTGTGATAACATTGGAGGTGTTTGGGCTGGGAATGTGAATGAATATATACTTTTATATACAGAAGTTGATGTTTCGTTGACCGAGAACCTATAAAAGACCCAGATAGTTGTATCTGGCAGGGAAAATAGAGTGAATGATTGAGAGTTTTACACAGATGTGGTGGGACTGATGAATGTCGACATCCAGCACCAAAACCCAGGATTCAGTTCATCCTGCAGTGCCAGCTGTGCTCACTGTGAGTGGCCCACTGAGCATCTTGCCCTCCACAGCCAACTACCTCCCAGCAATCTGGGCTTCTTACCTGCAGCAAGTAAATGGATTTATGTACCTTGGCGGAATGTTTACCAAAAATGAGGGAATGGCTGGGGAAATTTTAAAATGTGCAAATGTAGGTAGTATGAGGTCTATATAAAAAAAGTGTTTGTGGAAAGAAGCAAAAATGGCTGTGTATAAGAGCATGCTTCTGCCTATATGAAAGTACAAATATACCAGGAAAAGCTTTAAAAAGAAGTTGCATGCAGTGGAAATGGGTTACTTAAGAAATATATGTAGTAAAACAGGAAGAAAAGGGTTCAGGAATGGGTGGGTAACGATAAATGTTGGCTGAATGCAACAGTGAGTGTTCTGTATTAAAAAATACGCTGAGATAGTTTAGTAACATAGGGAGAATGAATAGGATTGAACTGAATATTAATGAATAGTAATAATGAATATTGAATCATATACAAAGGAAGAAGGAGATCAAGAAAGTTGTGGCTGGATGGTTTTGATGAGATCCTCCCAAAGAAAGAGGAAAGACGTTTCAAGAGCAAACAGTGATGTAGGAAGGAGTTAGTGTATGCAGTGGGAGCGAGGACCGTTTGCAAAGACAGACAGGCATGAAGAGATACAGTAGACAAAGGTCAGCTGTGTTTTCCTTTTCTCTTCTGCTGTCAATTTGTTTTACTTTCTTCTTTTTGGAGCTTCGCATAAAGCTGCCTACCGTGAAAGGGAGTAGTGGGAGGAAGGTCGGTGAAGCTCCACACAGGGATAGGTAAATCAAGGCTCTTGGGTGCCAGTACACCCGTGGGCTGCTGTCCCGTCTCTTCTGGCTCTTCAAAACATTCTTTTAATTTAAGAAAATGAAACAAAAACTGCCAAGCGGCAGAAAAAGGAGCTGGGGCTGGGTGGCACAGCGCTGTGCTGGTTCAGCTCCTTTCTCCAAGGCCGAACCCAAGAGGTGTTGGTAGGGAGCGAGAGTTTCCAGCCGTGGCCCCTGCTTTGTGGGGTGCCTCAGGGCTCGGTGCTCTCACCACCCCTATTTAACGTCCACATAAAACTGCTGGGTGAGATCATCCAGCACCACAGGACGAGGTATCGTCAGTATGCCAATGATACCCAATTATACATCTCCATCCCGGGTGACCTAAGTGATGCTGTGGCTACACTTTTGGGGTGCCTGGAGTCTGTAGGGGCCTGGATGGGGGACAACAGGCTTCAGCTGAACCCTGGTAAGACGGAGTGGCTGGGGGTACGGGGGGCCCCAAAATCTAGGACATTGGCATCTTTGGGTCTTGAGGG